TGCAGCACTGTGTTCAGAAAATTGTACTCCATCTCTTCATCTGATCTTTTCATCTGAACATATAATTTGTGTTTTATAATTAAAATAATTAGTGTTAGCAGTGCTTTAAACTGACTGGGAAATGGCACCTGAATGCCACTCCATAATCCTAATCCTAATTTATTTCCACTTTCTTCAATTTTCTTAAAAAAATACAAATAAAACATGAGTCACATTGTCCATGAATGCCACTTTGGTACCGGTTACATTTCAAATTGGTCACGTTATTCCAACCTTTAAAAACCTTTTACAGGGAAGTCGTGGCCTAATGGTTAGAGCGTCGGACTCTTAACCCAAAGGTTGTGGGTTCGAGTCTTGTACCGGCAGGGATTGTAGGTGGGGGAAGTGAATGTACAGTGCTCTCTCCCACCTTCAATACCATGACTGAGGGTGCCCTTGAGCTCACTGCTGTGTGTGTGCACTTTGGATGGGTTAAATGCAGAGCCCTAATTCCAAGTATGGGTCATAAAGTATGGGTACTTTAATAGCTTCCAGTAGAGGCTCCTGACCGTAAATTTAGGTGGGGCAGATTCTGGGCCGTAGTGCTAATTAGGGTTGTGACAGTGAGGAAATTTTCCCACCGGTTAATCGACGTGTGACAACACCAGTATCACCGCGGGGGTGGGGGCATTCCCTCTTTTCCTTCGCTTTTAAATAGCTTGTAAAAGCAGTGTGCACATTTTACTTTCACTTTCAAATAGCGGCAATTCGGAGTAAAGCAATTGTAAAGCATTTTTAGTTCGTTTGAATTTTCCCTCTTTTCCTCACTTTTAAATAGCTTAAAAGCACTGTGCGCATTTTACTTTCACGTTCTTTGGGTCGGTGATGCGGTGGGCAAGTGACGTATCCGGTGTTGCGGCTTAACACCGGTATCACTGAGTGAATTCTGAATGCATGAGAGGTGGCAGCCAAATCTATTTATATCTTTATTAATATATTAATATATCTTATATTAACCATTTGCACACACGAGCATTATCCGGCTTCGCTCCTCCCGACTGCAGACGCAGGTTTACAAGCCACTTTTTCCTGTATTTTTCAACCAATTTCTTGACTTTTCCCCACTCATGAACGACACATTTTCGTACACGATAAAAGCTCCTTGTGGTTTCTCGGTTTGACCAATTTGAGCATCCATAAACAACACAAAACACAGCCATTTTGAGTTTCTGCTAGTGATTCCTACGGAGAAAAATCACTTCCTGCCCTCCATCTGCATTTTGCACGTCATCAGTGACATCATGTGCAAACAACCTATTGTTTTGTTGTTAATCAAGCAACAAAAGACAAAGAGAAAATCACTAATTTCTCTTGACTAAACGCTTTTGGATCTTTAATAAGAACCAATTCATATTTGATTCATGCAGTGAATACTATGCAGTGTTTTAGTTATTCAATTTATTCAATTTCTGTATTATTTCTTACTACATGTTAAATAAACCTACTGTAACTGAAAAACGTAAGTTTATTTAATTTGTAATTTTTTTTCTATTGTGTTTGTAATTTGCTTCTTTGTTCTTATAACTAAAATATAATAAAATAAAAATAGCTTTATTGAGATCTCATTATCATGAAATAAAATTTCTCATACTGTGAAATAAGATTTTGGTCATATTGCCCACCCCTAATTCTCAGGACAAGAAATGTTTCTCAGTATATGACAGTGATTATTTTTTTATACACAGCACTGAAAATGCTGGATTTCTCAATGAGCTACAGAGACAGATTAAGAAATGAAGCAGATAAAGAAATAGAAGTTAACCCTTGGGGCCCAATCTTAAAAAACAAAGCAAATGTCTGTTTTTTTTTTCATTACCGCCTTTCAGGTAATTGCCAGCCAAAAGCAATAAACTAGAAAATGACTGATGATGTACATAATGAAAGTAACATGAAAATGTTGCCAAGGAAGTTTAAGAGTCAGCTGTGTGTAGAAAGCTTTTCTCTATGATTTTTGTTTCATTGCAGACCGTTCAGTGCCAGAATCATCATGCTAATCAATGGCAACAGCTGTTTCACCTCCCCCTGGAATCATTCTCATTGACACATCATAATCCAATCTCTTCCCACCAACCCTTAACTCTTCATAATGTGCTGTACGCTGCATGTGTGCAGTGCTGCCGCAGTATATGCCCATATCTCTGCTGTAGTTTCCATCGCATCCCCCTAATCATTATAGATTTTCAGTTTACTGGCTCAAAAACAGATGGTAGAACCCCAAAGCCTACGAGTGCCAGTGAGACTACAGTATTTCTAAATCAGAATTACTTTAGCCTATTAGGGGACTGTGTTTGAAGCAATGTAAATGAGATTTCCTTTTGCCTGTTCCCTGATGTAGTTAAGCATTGCCTATGCCCCTATTATTGAATACTAATTCCGCCCATCTTATCTGGAAAAAGTGCTCAATTGTCCTAAAGGGATTACAGCATGGTGATTTTGTAGCAGCATCATATTCATTTGTTTTTATTTCACGTCATGCTTAAAATGCTTAGAGCTTCTTTAAGCATTTTTTTCTTCTCTAATTGCTGCTTGCATAAGACTGCTAGCCAGGTTTGATTGATTAGTTTGTGGTCTCCCAGTTTTCTCTTGGTTTTATAAGCCATCTGTTATGTCAAGCTTACCTAAGGCCATTTCCAATTGTATTTCTTATTCAAACACTGCACATCGAGTTTAACGTTACGATAATAGTGTTTTGTGTAGTTGTGAATCAAATAAGAACCTAGGAAGCCAGGTGAAAGCAGACTGAAGTAACTGCAAGTCCAGCCACCATTTTTGCAGCACAAATGAATTTTTTAACATGTTTATTTTAACATTGAGATAATTTTTTCCTCCATTTGTGTCCTTGATTAAGCTGAAGTGGATGATGCCTGCTGCCTTGACACTCTGACAATGAGAGTGAAGCAGTCAGTAGAGGCCCTTACTGGAGCGGCTTTGAGGCAGTAGAGACACCATTCATCTCAGGATGAGAGAGGAAGGCTGCCGTGCCATAACACAAGGTCAGACGTTGTACTGAGTGATGGAGGACACAAGTAGTGAAGGCAGCCATAAGTCCTGCCTCTTCCATTTAGTATGGCCCCAATGGATGGGGTCATTCAGAGTTTTACACCAACCATCCAGCTGCAGCATAGCTGAAGACAAGTCACAGGTTTGACTTTCACATCCTTTAAACTTTTTGAAGTTGCATGTCATTGCCAAACTCATGTCCTAGGATCCAAATCAGACTCTACGACTTTTTTATTTGCTGCCTATCTTGGGGGCAGTTGTGGCTTAATGGTTAGAGAGTGGGACTTGTAACTCAAAGGTCGCTGGTTCGAGTCTCTGTACCACCAGAGTACGGCGGTGAATGTTCAGCGCTCTTCCACTTTCAATGCCACGACTGAGGTGAGACCCTTGAGCAAGGCACCGAACCCCCAACTGCTCCCCGGGCACTGCAGAAAAAATGGCTGCCCATTGCTCCAGGTGTGTGTGTGCTTGTTCTCTACTCACTGCTGTGTGTGTGCAATTTGATGGGTGAAATGCAGAGCACAAATTCTGAGTATGGGACACTTCATAGTTTTACTCATAATGATTATAATAATAAAACACACAGGATTTTTTTTTTTCTGATTTCAAGTAAATATTTTCAATGGTGGCCCTGTTGGAAACTGGCATTGTGAAATGACATTGGTTTATCATCAGGACTTACTGGAGACATTTGCGCCTATTAGAGACTGTACACTGTTACAGTACCAATCATTTTAGAATGCCGTATACCTAATTAATGTCCAGTAACCAGGAGAGGAGTAAAGAGCCAAAGTCATGAAGGTTAGGATTCATTAGGATTCACTCAATGTATTGCTTAAGTAAATAAAAAATTTACATATTACTCACACTTGTAAAGGCCAGTATAGAAATGTACATTCAGTGTTTCCCCTGCCATGATATTAGGGGGGTGGCCCGTTAATTTGATTTAATTATATTTTCTCTATAGCGCCAATCACAACAGAAGTCATTTAAAGTTACCTTTCCGATAGAACGGGTCTATACCGTATTCTTTTATTAAACAAACTAAATAGCCGTATGTTATTTCTTATTTACATGACGCCATGTCATTTCGGTTACTACGTTATAGTCGCGCTCTCTGTATCACGCACAGCGGAGTTCCGCCCCGATGTGCGCGCAGAAATGCAGAGCACAAATTCTGAGTATGGGACACTTCATAGTTTTACTCATAATGATTATAATAATAAAACACACAGGATTTTTTTTTTTCTGATTTCAAGTAAATATTTTCAATGGTGGCCCTGTTGGAAACTGGCATTGTGAAATGACATTGGTTTATCATCAGGACTTACTGGAGACATTTGCGCCTATTAGAGACTGTACACTGTTACAGTACCAATCATTTTAGAATGCCGTATACCTAATTAATGTCCAGTAACCAGGAGAGGAGTAAAGAGCCAAAGTCATGAAGGTTAGGATTCATTAGGATTCACTCAATGTATTGCTTAAGTAAATAAAAAATGTACATATTACTCACACTTGTAAAGGCCAGTATAGAAATGTACATTCAGTGTTTCCCCTGCCATGATATTAGGGGGGTGGCCCGTTAATTTGATTTAATTATATTTTCTCTATAGCGCCAATCACAACAGAAGTCATTTAAAGTTACCTTTCCGATAGAATGGGTCTATACCGTATTCTTTTATTAAACAAACTAAATAGCCGTATGTTATTTCTTATTTACATGACGCCATGTCATTTCGGTTACTACGTTATAGTCGCGCTCTCTGTATCACGCACAGTGGAGTTCCGCCCCGATGTGCGCGCACACACACACACGTGCGCGCACTCCCACTAGTATTTGTATTAAGCCGCAAAACGACTATTTAAATATGAATTCTGTGTGTCTCTGTGTTAATGAATGGCGCAGACTCGCGGTTGTGTTTACTACTTGTACTGAAAGCGCGTGACGCTTCCGATGATTTTAGTGTCTGCCGTCTCACTAATGAGGACATAAATACATGAACATCATCTCCAGAACTGATCTGAGAGTCCCTTCATGAGCATTCATTTGAGTAAAACTATCCTCATATCATATACACAGAAATGTAAAGGTATTCACTGCAACCCGTCAAAATAAACGTTTGGTTCAACTTGAAGGCATTGCGGCAATAATATTTTACTATTGTTCAGTAGAATGTACGTAATAGGCTGCTACTACTACTACTAAAATTATTAAAACCTTATTTGTAAGGAATAATCATACAATATTTCTTCAATGTTTTAATTGTAAAAACCTTACAATTAAAGACATGCTAAAACAGAATTTGGTAACAATAAACCCCAAACCCAAAGGTTGGGAAAAATAAAACATTTCCTAGGGCCCACATGTAATTTTTGTTAAATTTTTAATAAATTGATGTTAAATTGATTAATTAATTAGACATGCTTTTTGATTAATACAATTTAATTTAACCATTAAAAAGGAGTCCAGAAAAAAATAATAAAACAGACCCCCCCAAAAGCCATAAACCTAGGGGAAACACTGACATTCATATTAAATAAAACCCAAAACTGCGTAGGCCTGCACAAAACAATAAACAATCAATATAGAGAAACAATATGCAGAAACATGATTAGGATTCAAAGGATACAGATATATTGAGATCGTGTAGTGAGGCAGTTCTCAGTTCTCATAAGTCCCAATAGTTTCAGGGAAACATCCACTTGAAAGGAGGGATAGGTGCAGGCAGATGATTGGACTCGTTGTAATCCTCAAATGGAGAACCGGCAGATGTCCATAGATGTATGTGTAGTGATACACTGGATGTGTGATGTGCTGACAATACTTGTGCAATTTGTGAGATTCGTGATGTGGTTCAATAATAAAACAAATAATGCACAATTAGTTTCTAATGCGATCGGTGTTACAGGTGCTGAGTCATTATAACTGCACGTGTCTAAACAAGTGAGACAGCGCAAACATATAATATATATAGAATATTGCGGAATTTCTTTCATAACTGGAGAAATATGACAATATGATAATACATCAGGTAACAATATTAGGCTGAATAACAAATAAACAACACTTACAATCATTAATGACGCACACGAGAAAACTCAACACAGGAAATCCCAACAAACTCTGAAACAATCACACAGCATCAGCCGACCATCCGCACAGAAAAACGTCAGTCTGCTCACAATCTATATGCTTGTGACAAATCCCCAGCTCGATGGCCTCAATCAACCTCACTTTGATAGTTTATAACAGACACTGCATGTTTTTTTCATCTTTCCACCATTGCTGCATCTGATCTCTTGTTAGTCTCTCTGAACTAGCGAGACTCTCTGTAACCACGCCTACTCAGCAGACGCAATAATCAGAATTCACAGAACGCGACTGAACTATTATAATGAAATCAATTTACATTAAACATGGCCTTTTGCACAGCACCACAGCATGTATTTCATCACTCATTTGTGATGCAGACTGCCATATTGGTACTTCTGTGCATATTTAAATTGTAGTATCACAATCATATGTAATCGTATTAAAATTATAAGGGTACTTGCAGTGCTATTGAAGCTAATATGTTAAAATGCTTCATGATATAATATAATATCGCATATGTTTTTTTTATTATCTTGCAACCACTTCACTTATGCTTAAATTTTTTATTTTCTTTGTTTAAATTATTCAGTGATACAGTTGAATAATTATGTCTAAGTATCATTATTTTGACCCCTTGTCTATACGATGCTTTTTATGGCAATTAAAACATATAGCAATATTTTAATTACAGAAGGCATAAAGTAGCTGTCACCGTTCTGGACTGTTTGTTGTGTTTTCTCCCTCTGTGCCCATATTTGGTCATGTTCCTGTTCCTGTTCTCATTTTGTCATTATTAGTTGATCCTCATCACCTGTCTGCCCCTCGTCATCTGCCCTATTTATAGTACTCTTTCTGTTCAGTTGACCATGGGTTATTGTTTATTGTCAGTAGGGATGCACTGAATTTTCGGCAGCCGAAAATTATCGGCCGAAAAGGGCGTTTTCGGCCGAAAGAGAAAGAAGGTTGAAAATGCGAGCCGAAAATATAGGCTACATATAATATTAATAATAATAATAATAAAAAAAATATATATTTTTTTATAATAATATTATATATGGCCCAGGGCCGCATTAACCATTGGCCTAGGCTGGGCTGAAGCTTTGGGGCCTGGACAAGGAGGGGGCCTGTGGAGTAGATTGACTGGTCATCGGTAGCGCCGATTGCCAAAGCCCCACCCCTCACTTATTAACGCTATTATTTAGTGGAGCTTTTCCATATATTCCATGCATTACCTTTAGAGATTAAAACGTCACGTTTGAATTTGGTTTACCAATCAAATGCATTTATTCTATATTTTTTACTTTTGAACGACCCGTGCACCACGTATCAATCAGGTGATCGCTGCAATGTCCGCATTCACCTCTCTTCACTTCGTTCCGGCATAATCTGGAAATGGTCATGCAAAGAACAATCTTCGATTAGTAAAAATGTAAAATAAAGAAAGCGAGAGAGGGGCTATTCTAAAAAAAATGAAGAGAGAGGGGAATACATGAGTTAGTCAGTAAAATCTAAAGCTGATGATGGAATAGTTGTGAAACAGCAAGTGGACCGGGCACATGGAGCAGATAAAATCACAGTGTCATCGTCCCCACATATTTAAGGTTAGTTTGATTAACAAGTTAACAACTTGATGGATGTATATTGCTTTTTGTGTTTGAACAAAGTATATTCACTTATGGGTTGAGAGATAAACCGGTAGAAATATATCAATCGTTTTGCGTGGCATTAAGCTTTTCATTTAAACGCATTTTAAGCATTATTGTTTAAAAACAAATTAAACTTGTTCAGGGACATTAAGCAGTGGGACAGAATTCATTTTGGCAAATGCGCGCATTAAGACGGTTACGGCCTGATTCGCGTGGCTTGCACCTGCTCGTACAGCGCCAGTCTTATCTTGAGTTATTTTTCGCACCTTGTGCTTAAACGTTCAAATGTTATGTGTCAAAATGTCTCACAGTAATTTGTGACTTAAATGAACGTTAATAGTTAAATATAAAGCAAGTGTAGTAGTAGGCTATGTGAGATCCTAATATGATGAGATTTTAAAGGGATAGTTCACCCAAAAATGAAAATACAGTCATCATTTACTCAGCCTCAAGTTGTGCTAAACCTGTATGAATTTCTTTGTTCTCCTCAACATAAAAGAAGTTATTTTGAAGAATGTTCGTAACTAGAAAGTTTCTGGTCCCATTGACTCCAGTAGTGTATTTTGTTTTTCATACTATGGAAGTCATGGGGGCCCAGCAACTGTCTGATTACCAGTATTGTTCCAAATATATACTTTTACATTCAACAACAGAAGAAAACTCATACAGGTTTAGAACAACATCAGACCTTTAATTTTTGGGTGAGCTATTCCTCTAAAGCAGCCTAATTAGCTGCTGTTAAAATTTATGTCAATGATGTTAATCAAACATTAGAAAGAAAATCACTCACTGTCCTTGACCAAATCACTTTTGTAAAATAAATAAGAATGAATGTATATTGAATTTATACAGTGAAGACTATTCAGTTTATTTGTACATTTATTTTATACAATATAATTTCTTATTCAGTGCTTTAAGTGTTTCAAGTAGGTCTATTTTTTGTAATTTGTGGCTGTTTACTTGTCTTAAGTATAAGCTTGTTTTTACTTAGGTTAGTATTTTTAATTTTTTTTGTATTGAAATTGGTAACAAGAATTATGAAATTTCAATGCATAAATTTTGATGGGATAGAAATCCTATTTAAAGCTATATATACAATATATTTTATTTGTAATACGGGGCCCTGCAGTAAGTCATAGCCCCGGGGCCCTGTAAGGTCTTAATGCGGCCCTGGCCGCGCCGCGCCTGGCAGTGTTCAGTGCACAGGTTTCACTCTCCTCATCACTGCGCGGTTTGACGCTCTGCTCAATATTCCGCTCTATGAATGTGTGTTCTGCTCGTGTACCGCTCATGCTCACCGAAAAAGCAAAGTCCGCTTAACAAGCTGACAGGAAATTTCTATGCAGTATACTTGTTCCTTTTTGCAGTAGTGCTACTGTGCTGTAACCTGGTGTAGGCTAGTTCAGCTGTACTGGGCAATGCTGGTAAAATGATGCTACCTTCAGTGATGCTATGCTCTTCTCATATGCTCTGATAATTATAGCTTTGTAGGACTATACATTATTTGGATAATTAGTCCCCCCAAAAAAACAAAAACAAAACAACAACTTATAACTGATTCTGTTACATAGAAGTTAATAATAATAATAATATATTGATATTTAATATTAAGGTAACACTTTACAATAAGGTTCCATTAGTTAATGTTAGTTAATGTCTTAACTAACATGAACGAACAATGAACAATACATCTATTACAGTATTTATTAATCTTTCTTAATGTTAGTTAATGAGAATACAGTTGTTCGCTGTTAGTTCATGTTAATTCAGAGTGCATTAACTGTTAACAAGCACAACTGTTGATTTTAATAATGCATTAGTAAATGTTGAAATTAGCATGAACTAAGATTAATAAATGCTGAAGAACTATTGTTCATTCTTAGTTCGTTATCTAAAGTAGTTAACTAATGTTAACTAATGAACCTTATTGTAAAGTGTTACCAATATTAATATAAATTCTGTCCAGTTTTATTGTGTTACTTTCAGTAAAAGTGTGGTTATTTTATTGGCTTGTGTTTTTTAAAATTCAGTATCATTAAAATTAAGTTAAGTTTAAAAAGTCTTACAAAATGACTTTATATTATTTAATAAAATATTAGATAACCATTACAAAGCATTTTCGGTTTCGGTTTTCGGCCAAGTGCATACAGAATTTTCGATTTCTGCCCAGAATTTTCATTTCGGTGCATCCCTAATTGTCAGACGTGTTTGTATCACCCTGAGTTTACTTCTCTTGTACCGTGTGGATTATAATTAAAGGACTTTATGTGGAATACCTTCATAGTCCTATCAGCACATGTAACAGAATAACCGACCTACAAAAACTAATTAAGCGGCGTCTTCCCCTCATTTTGTTTTCAGTTTTTGTTAGTTTTTATTTTTTGTTATGGATGACTCTGTCGTCCTCGTCCTCCTGCTGGAGCAGGGGGATCGCTCTCTCGAGGACCACACTAAAGACTTTGTGTTCCTCGCTAACCTCACACACTACCCGGACAACTTCCTCCGCTCATTCTATCAAGCTGGACTATCAAGTTGTCCGGGGATGGTCCTCGAGAGAGCCTCGCCTCCTTCATTGAGTGGGTGCCCACTCTGGACCCAGAGCCCAGTCAAATACCACTCTGCGGCGCAGAGCTGCCCGAGCCCACCGCAGACAGAGAGCCAGAGCCTGCTGCGGTCGTTGAGCCATCGCCATCAGGAGTGACAGAGCTGATGATTGCCCCAGAGCCTGAGCCCCAAGTGTCTGACCAGGTGCGAAAGCCGACTGCACAAGCGACAGTGGATACAGCTGTGGAGATCGCGGGGGCAATGGAAAGCCCCGCCCATGTTGCCACCGCTGGGGGTGAGCACAAACTGGACCTGGGAGATTTATTAGACTTTCAATCAGAGATACTCGTCCCTCCGGCTCCGCCTTGGTCAGTAGTCCCCCTACCTCCACCTCGGGACTGCACTCTTCCAGCTTTGCTCCATCCTTCCGTCCCTCTGGCACCGTTGGGCTCCTCCTTCCCTCCAGCTCCACCTCAGTCCTCTGTCGCTCCGGCTCAGCCACGGCCTTCCGGATCTCTGCCTACACCTCGGTCGCCCAAGCCTCCGGCTCCGCCTTGGCCCTCCGGATCCTCGACTTCACCCTGGCTCTGTCGCCGCCTCGGGCTCCACCTCCACCTGCTCCGCCACCATCGGTTGGCCCCATGTAGCCGTCAGCCCTTCCCCCACCATGGCTCCTCCCTCTGTCGGCTCCTCCGTGGGCCACCATCGTGACTGTGGCCTGGGTCCCGCCTGGCTCCTCCTGCTCCCACCTGTCTTCTCCCTGGCTCCTCCCTCTGTCTGATCCTCCCTGGCTCCTCCCGCCATCTGATCCACGCTGGCTCCTCCTATTTCCTCGTTTAGTTCCCAATTTAAGCCCTGTGTTTTCTTGAGTCCTTCGTCCTGTCTTATACGTCAGCCGGATGCCCTATGTGTGTTTCACTGGTTTTGTTCTATTAAAGACTCTTCAATTATTCTCCCTCGTCTCTGCGTTTCCTCGCTCCCTCGCTCCCTCGCTCCGTGCTCTGACACAATAGGCAAACCGTGACAGTAGCAAATACCACTTGTTAATGATCACTGAAGCATTTTTTAGCATCAGATGATGTTATGATATAACTAAGTCTTAAGTATTTTTACAGATGTTTTTCTTCAAAGATGACATGGAGCACGTTTATATGCACACCAATGATAACTCGCAGAAATCAGCTTATTGAAATAACACATTGTCCCGGTTTACATGCAAACCAATAATGCAGCCAATGCAAGTAAACTGCGTTTACAAGCCTTTATTAATAAATCAGTTTATTTTGCGGTAGTGATGTCAAAATGTAATAATTTTGTTAACCAAAGAAGAGCGTTGCGACATGTTAGCGGGAAACTTACGACTCATATATTATCATCTCAATCACCACTTCTACTTCTGCTGCACGAGACGAGCGTCTGAGTTTGTGGTATATTTCCTCCTCCCTTACTGCAAAATGTTTGCTGTGTCTGGATGCACTTAAATCCACAATAAGGACACATTAATGCACTTCAATAAACCGGTAGAAAGAAGTTTAATGCGTTTACAAGCTGTGCATAATCTGTAGGGCTGGGTATCGAGTTCAATACTTTTTAGGCACCGACCGAAATGCCTCGATACCATCGAGTATTGAAAAACGTCTCATCGTTCGGTACCAAATTTCGATACCTAAGGCGTTAATCTCATTAGTGTCAGTGAGCCAATAAGCCTGTAGCACTAGCCGGTGTGTTCGACTAGAAGAGGTGCGGCGCAGATCGATCAGTGTTTGACATCAGCAAGAGCGATTCGAAAGAGCATGGAGAGCACTCTGCTCTCTTTAGCTCTCGTGGTACTATAATACACAGATAGGTCTGCACAGTCAGTCCGCGTCAAGTCGAATACACCTACTAGTTTACACCGGTTACACTCAGAGATGTGGCGCACACATGAGGCTGTAGTGCGAATGCGTCCCAGCCCCCTTCGATGTAAGGCTACATTTACGCTGGTGCGTTTATGTTTTAAAATGAAAATGATCCTTGTCATACTGGCGTTTTCACTGCTTTTCAAGCCGGCTTTCCACTATATCCGACAAGCGACAGACCGGTCATTCAGTCATTAATTTCCAATGTAGTGCGGGAGCTGCATGGAGTTCCGATCATATGCAGATGTCCGTTCATACTACACAACCAAAAGCGCGTGTTATGTGACCATTCATGCAAACTGTAGCATCATGTTACATAAGACAATAAATAAGATTTATATTCCGCTTTTACTCAAAACTCACTTTAAACCACCATCGAGTGTTTGTAATAACTTCCGATTGCCGTCTAATGTGTGTTTTGGCCATGTAATGTTGCTGAAATGAAATATGCTATTACCTCTGACTCTGAGTCAGAGCAGCGGTCATGGAAGAGAGAACACAGGCAGACAGCGCTGGAAGCTGCTTATGCTCATCAGTAAATCAGTGGAAAATATATAGAAATCATGATTCTGTCTGAGCTATGCGTTTTAAAATGAACACGCACTAGTGTAAATGAAGTCTAACAGATGTGTAAACTGAAGACTATTTGAGCTTTATTAAAACTATTTGCACTGATTTATTGTGTTGGTTACATTTTGTTCCTTTGTGCAGTGGCTCAGGAGATGAGTCTTTGAGTTTGTTTAAACGTCAACAAGCTGAAAAATAAAAATTTTAAATTTTATTAAAATTGATTTCATAAAATTGGCATCGGAAAAAGTATCGTTCAGGAACCGGTATCGAAGTCAAGGTATCGGTATCGATATAGAAAATTTTTGAATGATACCCAGCCCTAGTAATCGGTGTAAGGGGCAAAAATCTAGCTGTAATGATCGGTTTATGCTTAAGCGATTTATGACTTTACTCCAATAAAAGAAAACGGGTCAAAGCGTTTAGATGACCACGTGCATTGACAGCTTATTAAGCTTAATCGGGTTATGAACGTGCATGTAAACGCACTCATGGTAGTCCACTTAGGTTAACGTTGAACTCTTTATTTCACTTTTAGTGGTAGTGGGATTTATCCCCTGACCGAGTTTCTCATCAATTTTACCTGATGCGCCCTGAAAGTTTGAGGTTTTAAGGAGCCCCACTTACTATTGTGTGCAACTTTTCAGTGGTGGCCTGAGGAACTGTCAGGTCTCTTATTAGCCAAAGGAGAGCTGAATCCCATTACAGCAGTCAGTCAGGCAGACACAGAATCCATTACGTGATCAGAGAGATCAATTGCAAAAGGTTACATTTTTGATGTCTGCATTTAAAGTAGGTGAGGGGATGATGGATGTTTTTCAGCTCCTCAGGTTTCCAGGAAGCCGCCTGAAATTTCCTCTCAGGTTTAACCAGCATCGATAGGAACTCTGCAGCAGTAATGGGACTGAAACACAGAATGCCTCGGGATGAGGAGGAAGTCTGGTTAAGAGTAGACAATTCAAATGCTCCGTAAGAACCAACTGAACTAAAACTGTTACAGTAGAAAGCACTGAGATAGGATTTTAATCAGCCCTCCTACCTCATGTGGCCTGGCTACTGTCTCAATGAAGGATTACTCATTATATCCTATCAGTGTTCAAACAGCAGGCTATCTTAACACCCAGAGGCTGCCTTTTAATAAATAAGCTACTTTTCATTTGCACAGACAAAATGAGAAGTTGTTTTATTGAATTAGTTGAGAGCCTTACATGCATACAAGTTTGTTTTGCTGGGAAATCCCCTTTTCTCTGAGTGACCAAGTATGTGATCCAAGGCCAACTTGGCTTGACTTTAAGATTCTGAGCGGAAACACAGAAGTACGGTCTTCAAAGTGATTGGCCGTTAAAACAAGCCTGTTGGTGGTAAGGAAGCAGTTCATTAATCCATGGTAAATCCCCAGCAGTTACTGAGGTGGAGATTCAATTTTCACATTTCTAATTCATTTCCCCTAAAGGATTACTGAATAGTTGTTGGCAGTAATCACACAAAGATAGCAGTGGACTCTGTAATTGGGTCATTTAATATTCTAGAAAGAGTACTAATTATGGCTTTTCAACTTTGCCTACTTTTGCTAAACTTATCTTTGAAAACATTCTGAACTAATGTAGATACATTTAGATACAAAACAAGCTTTTTAAAAAAACAAAAAAAACAAAAAGAAATTAATACTATTCTATTTACAAATAAATGCTTTTCTCTTGTATTCATAAAAAGACAGATACAAAAAAGTATCTAAAAAATATTAAGCATCACAACTGTTTTCAACTTTGATATGTTATTTGAGCACCAAATCAGCGCATTTGAATGATTTCTGAAGGATCATGTGACTCTGGAGTCACGAGACACCATAAACACATCACAGAAATAAATAGTATTTTAACATATAGTAAAATAGAAAACACAGTATAACACAATGTTGGAGTTTTTCTATATCGTTGATCAAATAAATACAGCCTTGGTGAGCATAAGGGCATTTTTCGAAACATTGGAACAGACTCAAGTTCTCAACAACTATTTGAACGGTGGTGTAATTGGACATTTTTTTTGGTTACACTTTATTTCGATAGTCCACTTTAGACATTCTACTAACTATAAGTAACTTTGTAACTACATGTCAACTAATTCTCATTAATTTGCAACTACATGTCTACTAACTCTCAGAGTAGACTGTTAGGGTAGGTTTAGGGTTAGTAGAATAAGTTGACAAAAAGTGTTAGACGATATTAAGCAGACAGTCTACTAATACTCTACTAAGTGCTAGTTGACATGTAGTTGCAAAGTTACTTACTGTTAATAGAATGTCTAAAGTGGACTATCAAAATAAAGTGTTACCATTTTTTTTAAATAATCATGTATGTACAATTCCAGATAAATTCACATTATTTCTGACCACCAAGACATGACACTAATCAAAAGTATAAACAAGGTTTAAAATAATTGGTATTTTATTTAATCTGTGACAGAGACTTATTCAAAGTAGCACCACATTTAATTTAGGATGAGAATGAAAATAAGGCCGTGATGGATAGATTTACAATCTCCTCAATGGCCATGCACTGCATATAGCAAGTATACATAAAGACTGTAGATCACATCTTATTTCCAGAAAGGCTTGTGTTTTCTGTAGTTTTTTTTTTTGTCTACTAAAAATGTTTTTAAAAGAATCTTTTCCCCTAATGTTTTATCTGCTGATTAATCAACACTAATAAGTGGGATAACCCATTGAAAAAGATTTTAAGTACATTCCTCACAGGCTTATTTTCATTCCTGTCAAATTAAATTAAAGGGGTCATATAATGTTGCTAAAAAGAACATTATTTTGTGTATTTGGTGTAATGAAATGTGTTTATGCGGTTTAAGGTTAAAAAAACACATTATTTTCCACATAATGTACATTATTGTTTCTTCTCTATGCCCCGCCTTTCTGAAACGTGTCGATTTTTACAAATCTCATCGTTCTGAAAAGTGAGGTGTGCTCTGATTGGCCAGCTATACCAATACCTCAAGTGTGTGATGGAAATATTATGCACCTTACCATATTGTAAGGCCGTGTCCCAGAGCGACGAGACAAAAACATTAAAACCCATTCTAAATGAGGCATTTGTTGCATCCAGTGGGGACATAATTACGTATTATAATGACTTATACTGTCTTTTTACGAGTTGCGTTGCATCGCGCAGCGCCGCGTAAACATAAAACCATGTTTGCATTTGTGATCGGAGAAATGACAAACAACAAGCCTACTCTACACTGCTCAAAACTCGCGTTTGAATCATCAGTGGCAAATTCTTTAAATATGAAAACGTACTTACAGACTGTGAGTCAGAACAGCCGGCATTGTAGTCTACTCTCCCAGGAAACAGTCCTTGTCCTACGTAAAATGCGCTACACACATCTGAATATTTGGGTTGAACTGTTCTGGAACAGTGTTGTAAATACAACTTAACCACTGATTTCTAGCCGTGTCCTCTTTTGAAAGGCCAAACAAAGTATTTTCGCTTTCACAACGAAACACACAGTGTCTTCACAACATGACGGCGGTGGTGGCAGCAACAATAAAGTTACACCTCCTTTCTTTGCGTGAACATTTGGGCGGTGTTATGCAAATCTTCCCACATCGTGACATAGACATGTGGGGGCGTGTTTAAATTTGGCATTTTAGGAGGGCGTGGACCAGTCTTAACTTTTATAAAGAATATCTCTTTGGGTTTGAGACTTTAATCTTTACAACTTTAGGGATCTTATCTATTCACGAACCGCTTGTAACACTCCAAAGATAAAGGAAAACTTGAAATCTTTTCATATGACCCCTTTAAATATCGAATAAGGTAGCGCACTTTGCTTTAAAGAACTGCTGTGTGGGATCATTATTGAATATTTACGCTGATATGTACCCAGTAGTTCTCATGGACCTGAAACTGTTTATCCACTACCAAAGCTTTGTAGAGCTTCCCTGCCATATGCTGTGCAGTGTAAGGGCATTAGAGTTAATTGTACCACAAGCTACAACCAACTCTTCCTAATGGCCCTAAACAAATGGACCATTGAAAGTGCAGGATGATACCTCTGTCCTACCTCTGAACTGATTACCCATAGCTAATTATCACTCATTTAATGAATGAATAAATTAGTAGCATAGAATGTGGACTCTTGTTTATGCTCATTGGAAGCCTCTTACGGGGGACAGCATGCATCAGGCAGACCAAATGGATAAGGACAAATTGAATAAGGGGTTTGGGTATATGAGAACAAAAGAGAGAAAATGAAAGGGAAAGGGAGGCTGGGAACAATCACTGCTCAATGAGGTGTTCTATGTAAGTGAGTTGGCCTGTGCTGTTTGGCACACTTGTCTGTAATCCATGGCACAGTTTGAATTGGAGCTTCAGCTTAGTCCAAGACAACCTCTCAATCACAGGAACAATCTCTCTGCATTATCTCTGCATATCCTAGGATCTCCTGGACTCACTATACAACCCTCTGGACACCTTGGCTATATATATATATATATATATATATACACACATACAGTCGTGGTCAGAATTGTTGGTACCCTTGGTAAATATGATCAAAAAAGGCTGTGAAAATAAATCTGCATTGTTAATCCTATTGATCTTTTATTTTTAAAAATGTACAACAATCTAACCTTTCATTAAAAAAATAAGAATTTAAAAATGGGGGGGAATCTCATTATGAAATAGATGTTTTTCTCTAATACATGTTGGCCACAATTAATGGTACCCTTAGAAATAAAATATCTGAAGTATATTCCCATTCATATTTATAATTTGTAGCTCACCAGGGTGATTATGAACATGAAATTATCCAGCCATTGCTTCCTGTTTCACAGGAATATAAAAATGAGGGAAAACAAAGGCCAAATTCCCTTAATCATCCATCACAATAAGTAAAACCAAAGAGTATAGTTCTGATGTGCAGAACAAAATTGTTGAGCTTCACAAAATAGAAAGTGGCTTTCAGAAAAGAGCTAGAGTATTGAAAACTCCCATTTCCACCATCAGGGCAATAATGAAGAATTTCCAATCAACTAGAGAGGTTACAAACCTTCCTGGAAGAGGACCTGTGTCTATATTGTTCTAATGCACAGTGAGGTGGAGAGTTTGAGTGGTTAAAGGCTCTCCAAGGACCACAGCTGCAAAATAGCAGAGATTAGTTGAGTCTTGGGGTAAGAAAGCCTAAAAAAAAAGTCAAACAGCACCTACATCATCAGACTTTGTTTGGGAGGGTTTCAAGAAAAAAAAGCAAGAAAAGAAAATGCTCTCATCCAAAAAATAACTCCAGCGTATTAATTTGCCAGACACTACTGGAACTTCAAACAGGACTGGGTTCTATGGTCAGATAAAACTAAAAATTTGCTTTTTAGCAGCAAACACTCGAGATGGGTTTGGTGCACACCGGAGTAAAAAAGTACCCTATGTGTACAATGAAATATACTGCTGGATCTTTAATGTTGGTGTATTTTTCTGCTGGAGGTCCTGGACATCTTGTTTAGATGCATGGCATTGTGGATTCTGTCAAATAGCAACAGATAAACAATTAAAAACTGACTGTCCATGCTAGAAATCTTATAATGGGCCATAGTTGGATCTTACAACAGGACAATGATCCAAAAACAAACATAAAATTAAAGCAAAAATTGGTCCCTGAGCACAAAACGAATATTCTGCCATGGCCATTCCAGTCCTCTGACCTGAACCCTATAGAAAATGAGTGTGGTGAACTGAAGAGGAGAAGCACCAACATGCAGCTGGAAATCTGAAGGGTCTGGAGTGATTCTGGATGAAGAAATGGTCTCTGATCTCTTGTCAGATGTTCTCCAAACTCATTAGGGATTATAGGTAAAGACTCAGAGCTGTTATCTTGGCAAAAGGTTGATGCAAAAAGTATTGAATAAAAGGGTACCATTAATTGTGGCCAACATGTATTAGAGAAAAGCATTTATTTCATAATGAGATTTCCCCCCATTTTAATTCTTATTCTTTAATGAAAGGTTATATTTTTGTAAATTTTTTTAAATAAAAGATCAATAGGATTAACAATGCAGATTTATTTTCACAGCCTTTTTTGATCATATTTACCAAGGGTGCCAACAATTCTGACCACGACTGTACATGAAAATGTTTGTAAAATTGCACCGTTTTTAAATATCTGAACGTACACTCTTAACATCAGTCAGTCAAGCATTATAATATGATAATCAAGTATTATTTAATGATAGAACTTTAGTAATTACAATTTAAACTTGATAACCATGTATGAATGAATATTAGTCATTTTAACTGAACTGACTGGTGGTGGTGCTTTTTGGTCATTCAGTGTTTCTGTAAAAAAATTGGACAAGATGATAATGATACGGAATCTATTAATAAGGATTTAAATTTAAAACACACTAAGGATTAATGAGCTGCTGAATTCATGAATATTAATCCGGTTGTGTGTGTTGAAATCAAAACTGGGACGATAATAGATGAGCGCCAGATTGCCGTTTGCGCATTAGTTCCGCCTTCACACTAGAATTTACGGTACGTTAAATACAGGTGCGCTGAGCAACCATTGAGATGAACTGAAAAATAGCACAGATCGCTTGAGGAGAGAGAAACTCTGAAGCACTCAGTCAGAGTGTTCGGCGAGTGAAAATATATCTGTGCTAAACTTAATACTTAGCCTCCAACTCACACACTGGTGAGTAAAATCGGAGAATTTATTAGCCATTGGCTAATATTAGACATCATTTAGTCGCCAGAGTGAAGATTTAGTCGCATATGTGAGTGATTTACTCGCAATATAGAGGGTTGCTATAGTCTCTGATTTCCACACCACCGCTGATCCGCGGGTCTAACCGTTATGGCTGGATTTTGATACAAATTTCACAATTCGATTAGAATATCCTTCACAAGCTTGCGATTCGATTCAATTACGAATTTGATTCAATTCAATATTGATTATTTTGGATCTATATCAGGTACAGGACATGGCAAATTTTCCCAAGGAAAACAAATCTCTCAACTAATGCTGTAAAATATTCACGAGAGTCAATAATATGGAAGGTTGAAATTTGCTGATTTGTATACAAACACTTAAAATATACTCAATACTTTTTTTTGTAATTGTGACGAGTGGGGTGGGGCCGAGAACCTTGGGAAGGGAGTGAGGCCGGTGGAGTAAATGATAATGAGCGACACCTGCGCCACTCACCGGTCTCGAGTCCCACGGAGGAACTCCGGAAGGATAAAAGGAGGAGTAACAACAGTGAAGGACAAGAGAGGACCAGGCCTGGACTATTTCCAATGTTATGGCTGCACGATAAATCACATGCGATTGTCATGCACATCTCATCAGTAAAGCCGGTTCTGTGATTAGTAGTAAATCTCCATCACGTGCTTTCAGATGGAGCGACATTTAATACACCGAGCCGTAGTTTACTGACAAGCTACGCAATATCGCATTCATAATCGAAGGCGATTAATTTTTGATTATGAACGAGATATTGCGTAGCTTGTCGGTGATCTATGGCTCTGTGTATTAAATGCCGCTCCATCTGAAAGCACGTAATGGAGATTTACTACTAATCACAGAACCAGCTTTACTGACGAGATGCGCATGACAATCGAATGTGATTTATTGTGCAGCCCTAACATTGGAAATAGTCCAGGCCTCATTATCATTTACTCCACCGGCCTCGCTCCGTTCCCACGGCTCGCAGCCCCACCCCACTCTTCACAGTAATATTAATACTAACTTTAACTTTAAATTACATAATTATATTTCTACTCCAATTCATTTTTTGAAATATAAACATTTCAATGGTGGCTGTCACAAAAACCTGACTGATTTATTCAAACAAATGAAATACTGAAGAACAGTAAAAAAAAATAAAAAATAATCCGAAGCGCGAAAACCCGCGCCTCAGAACGCGCGCAAATATTAAGCTCTCTCTGAAGTATTGTGTTTAAATGGACAAATTCACACAAAAATTATGTCAAAATGCCTGTCTTGGTAAGTATCCTATAGCAGACATAGCCGGTTGAACATACTGTATCAGTGCACTGGATCAGTGCCTTCTCTTAAAGTGACAGCACTTTCTTAATATTAATCAAACAGTAACAACAAAGAAACCACTCTCTGCTCTTGATTGAATACCTTTTGTAACTTTAATAAAGATTAATCTTTAATTTATACAGTGAAATATGCAATGCTGGTTTACATTTCATTACTTTATTCAAATTCTGTACCTTTGTATTTATTTGTGCTGTTGCTTGTAGTTAGATAGATTATTCTTATTTTCTTTATTTTTATTTGACAGTATAGTTTTTGCCTAAACATAGCACATACCGAACCATACCGAAACTGTGACTCTAAAACTGTGATACAAACCGAACCGTGAGTAAGTTGAACCGTTCCACCCCTAGAATGAACTGTTCCTCCTGGGAGAAACACTGCCAATTGTGTTGCACTCCCGGTGTGGCTCTCCAGCTTCTTAAAGGTTATTCCAGAGGATGCCAATTGTTATGTTTTAAATTACGTTCTTTCAGAGGGCTCATTTTGGAGCTTTGCTGGGCAGAACTTTACCTGGCTAAAAAGCTCATGATTCATGCAGTCCAGCACAGGGTGGGGTGGTGTATGTGAATAAACGGAAATTGCAGCTTTTGGATTATGTTTTGGAGCTGTTAGATCACAACATTTTTGACAAATGAGCTGTTTAAAGTGACTTTATATTAGAGGTCGACCGATGTATTGGTTTTGCAGATTAATCGGCAGCGATAGCTGATTGACGGAACTATTGACTATCGGCAAAAATCCATGCCGATTAGGGATGTAACGATTCACTCTACTCACGATTCGATTCACGATTTTGATTTCACGATTCGATTCGATTCATGATTTTTTTTTTAAGACAAATTATAAATTAAATGTGTCCTTTTATTATTTCTTGTTTCTTATTTCTTTGTGAAATTGAAATATAACACTATAACAATATACTAATATAGCACTTGGACAAAAGCGTCTGCTAAATGACAAAATTTAAATATAATGTAAATGTAAATAACAAAACTACATTGAAAATTTAAAACAAGCCCCAAATCAAATAAATAACACAAATAAAATAAATCTCTTCATATAAACAAACTAAAGCTTTGTCCGTCCTCTTTCCTTTTAAAATTAGAGGCAACCACTGCATTTTAATCATGATTCAAACAAAGATGCTGCATACATGCAACATGAGCAGTTTTTAATCTAAATTAGATTGTATAATTTTGAAATTTGAAGCAAAAACAGAATGGTTTGACTTCAGTTTTATGAAACTGTACATACAAATTGTGCATGAAACAGCAGAGCTGAATGAGACGCAGATTTACTCTCTGCCAGCAGGTGGCACTTAAAGCATTTCCTTGGTTTCCGTTGTAAACAAAGCAGCGCTGAACTTATGAACTTTAATATGCATTATACAGAGGCAAGATGAAAAGAAAAAATACCATCTAAACTTTTCTAAAGACAGTAAGTTCCCCTCAGACATACATTCATATAAACTCCTACACCTAAATGAATCACGATTTGTTTAGCATCTCAACCGATTTGAATCGTCACATATTTGAATCGATTTTCAACCGGCTCGCTGTTAATCGTTACATCCCTAATGCCGATAGTTTTTTTTCAGGTTGCGTCCGTTGCTGGAGCGGCTGAGAAGATCGGTAGTCATTATACAGTACAAGAGCGGCCTTTAGAGGTGGAATCACTGACACCTCGTTAGGGATGGGAGATATCTTATCGTTTGGGATATACCGGTAAAAATTATCCACACAATAAGAATTTGTCTTCCCGCGATAATAACGATAAAGTCTAGTTGTTGTTGACATATTTCTGTGTGCGACTGTGTGGAGTGACATGAAGGAAGGCGAACGTGAAATTGAGCAGCTCCTTCTACAATCTGGAACAGGTTTGGATAGGGCTGTACAGTGCGACAAAAATCGGTCTGAGCCTTGAGTAAATGTACTACAGTAGCACGTGTGCGACACAGTTTTACATGTGTATGAGCCGTTTACAAACCTGCTGTCCAACAAAGATATTTTAATTTATTGACATGCTTTTACTCCATATTAACTTCATAACAGTCGAGTGTTTGAAATAACTTATTTTTGTGATCAGACGTGGTTTCGTATCACAGAATAAGGCAGACATCATACTATTTTATAGCATTATATACAGTGATAAAGGCTATGTCGATTAGCATTGCATTATAAATATACTTTATCCTTATAAAAAAATACCCAAGATTGCTTGAAGAACACAGATACCATATATTTTTTGCAATTGCATGTTTATTGTCTTCAGGTTTCCTCAGTTAAAATTTCTCTATCTGCGTTTTATTCAGCTACAGCGATCACTGGATACTTCTTCCTGGAGCATTACTTCTACTATGCATATGTGGAGTTTCTGCGCAAGGGCGCCTTCCGGCTTCCAGTATGAATTAAACAGTCATTACATTAAGTGTGTACTCAGTAATGCTCACAACACCCTATTTTGGGTAAAAATAGGAAAGATAATACTTTTCTCTAAAGAAACAGGATTCCCTAAATTATCGTCATTGATATCGTTATAGCAATAAATATCAGAAATTATCGTGATATATTTTTAAGCCCATATCGCCCATCCCTACACCTCGTGCTGTTTGTTTTGACACATGACAGTGCACACTGCACAGAGCGGGACACTTCAGATGCGGATTTAAAGGGGTCATATGATGCTGCTAAAAACAACATTATTTTGTGTATTTGGTGTAATGAAATGTGTTTATGCGGTTTAAGGTTAAAAAAAAACAC